AGTGAGTGTATGAGTGAGTGTGTGAGTGAGTGAGTGTATGAGTGAGTGTATGAGTGAGTGTATGAGTGAGTGTATGAGTGAGTGAGTGTATGAGTGAGTGTATGAGTGAGTGTATGAGTGAGTGTATGAGTGAGTGTATGAGTGAGTGTATTAGTGAGTGTATGAGTGAGTGTGTGAGTGGTGAGTGAGTGGTGAGTGTATGAGTGAGTGTGTGAGTGTATGAGTGAGTGTGTGAGTGAGTGAGTGTATGAGTGAGTGTATGAGTGAGTGAGTGTATGAGTGAGTGTATGAGTGAGTGTATGAGTGAGTGAGTGTATGAGTGAGTGTATGAGTGAGTGTATGAGTGGTGAGTGAGTGGTGAGTGAGTGGTGAGTGAGTGGTGAGTGAGTGGTGAGTGTATAAGTGAGTGAGTGTATGAGTGAGTGGTGAGTGTGGTGAGTGTGCTGAGTGAGTGGTGAGTGTGGTGGTGAGTGAGTGGTGAGTTAGTGGTGAGTGTGGTGGTGAGTGTATGAGTGAGTGAGTGAGTGTATGAGTGTATGAGTGAGTGTATGAGTGAGTGTATGAGTGAGTGAGTGTATGAGTGAGTGAGTGAGTGTATGAGTGTATGAGTGAGTGAGTGGTGAGTGAGTGGGTGAGTGGGTGTGTGAGTCGGAGGGTGAGTGAGTGGGTGAGTGTATAAGTGAGTGAGTGTATGAGTGAGTGGTGAGTGTGGTGAGTGTGCTGAGTGAGTGGTGAGTGAGTGGTGAGTGAGTGGTGAGTGAGTGGTGAGTGTGGTGGTGAGTTGGTGGGTGAGTCGGAGGGTGAGTGAGTGGGTGAGTGAGTGAGTGGGTGAGTGTATGAGTGAGTGAGTGTATGAGTGAGTGAGTGTATGAGTGAGTGAGTGTATGAGTGAGTGAGTGGTGAGTGAGTGGTGAGTGTGGTGAGTGAGTGGTGAGTGAGTGGTGAGTGGTGAGTGAGTGAGTGGTGAGTGAGTGGTGAGTGAGTGGTAAGTGTGGTGGTGAGTGAGTGGTGAGTGAGTGGTGAGTGTATGAGTGAGTGTATGTGTGAGTGTATGAGTGATTGAGTGGTGAGTGAGTGAGTGTGGTGGTGAGTGAGTTGTGACTGAGTGGTGAGTGAGTGGTGAGTGAGTGTATGAGTGAGTGAGTGTATGAGTGAGTGAGTGTATGAGTGAGTGTGTGGTGAGTGAGTGGTGAGTGAGTGTATAAGTGAGTGTATAAGTGAGTGAGTGGTGAGTGAGTGGTGAGTGAGTGGTGAGTGAGTGGGTGGGTGGGTGAGTCGGTGGGTGAGTGAGTGGGTGAGTGAGTGAGTGAGTGGGTGAGTGTGTGAGTGAGTGAGTGTATGAGTGAGTGTATGAGTGAGTGAGTGGTGAGTGAGTGTATGAGTGTATGAGTGAGTGGTGAGTGAGTGTATGAGTGTATGAGTGAGTGTATAAGTGAGTGAGTGTATGAGTGAGTGTATGAGTGAGTGAGTGGTGAGTGAGTGGTGAGTGAGTGGTGAGTGAGTGGTGAGTGAGTGGTGAGTGAGTGGTGAGTGTATGAGTGAGTGAGTGTATGAGTGAGTGAGTCTATGAGTGAGTGTATGAGTGAGTGAGTGTATGAGTGAGTGAGTGTATGAGTGAGTGAGTGTATGAGTGAGTGTGTGGTGAGTGAGTGGTGAGTGAGTGTATAAGTGAGTGTATAAGTGAGTGAGTGGTGAGTGAGTGGTGAGTGAGTGGTGAGTGAGTGGTGAGTGAGTGGGTGAGTGGGTGGGTGAGTCGGTGGGTGAGTGAGTGGGTGAGTGAGTGAGTGGGTGAGTGAGTGAGTGGGTGAGTGTGTGAGTGAGTGAGTGTATGAGTGAGTGAGTGTATGAGTGAGTGTATGAGTGAGTGTATGAGTGAGTGTATGAGTGAGTGAGTGGTGAGTGAGTGTATGAGTGTATGAGTGAGTGGTGAGTGAGTGTATGAGTGAGTGTATAAGTGAGTGAGTGTATGAGTGAGTGTATGAGTGAGTGAGTGGTGAGTGAGTGGTGAGTGAGTGGTGAGTTAGTGGTGAGTGAGTGGTGAGTGAGTGTATGAGTGAGTGTGTGAATGAGTGAGTGAGTGTATGAGTGAGTGAGTGTATGAGTGAGTGAGTGTATGAGTGAGTGAGTGTATGAGTGAGTGTGTGGTGAGTGAATTGTGACTGAGTGGTGAGTGAGTGGTGAGTGAGTGGTGAGTGAGTGAGTGGTGAGTGAGTGAGTGTATGAGTGAGTGAGTGTATGAGTGAGTGAGTGTATGATTGAGTGAGTGTATGAGTGTATAAGTGAGTGAGTGGTGAGTGAGTGGTGAGTGAGTGGTGAGTGATTGAGTGTATGAGTGAGTGTGGTGGTGAGTGAGTGGTGAGTGAGTGGTGAGTGAGTGGTGAGTGAATGAGTGTATGAGTGACTGTGGTGGTGAGTGAGTGCTGAGTGAGTGGTGAGTGAGTGGTGAGTGAGTGGTGAGTGAGTGTATGAGTGAGTGAGTGTATGAGTGAGTGCGTGTATGAGTGAGTGTATGAGTGAGTGTATAAGTGAGTGAGTGGTGAGTGAGCGGTGAGTGAGTGGTGAGTGGTGAGTGAGTGAGTGTATGAATGAGTGTATGAGTGAGTGAGTGTATGAGTGAGTGTATGAGTGAGTGTATGAGTGAGTGAGTGTATGAGTGAGTGAGTGGTGAGTGAGTGTATGAGTGTATAAGTGAGTGAGTGAGTGTATGAGTGAGTGTATGAGTGAGTGAGTGTATGAGTGAGTGTATGAGTGAGTGTATGAGTGAGTGTATGAGTGAGTGTATGAGTGAGTGAGTGTATAAGTGAGTGAGTGTATAAGTGAGTGAGTGTATGAGTGAGTGTATGAGTGAGTGTATGAGTGAGTGAGTGTATGAGTGAGTGTATGAGTGAGTGTATGAGTGAGTGAGTGGTGAGTGAGTGAGTGTACAAGTGAGTGAGTGTATGAGTGAGTGAGTGAGTGGTGAGTGAGTGGTGAGTGTATGAGTGAGTGTGTGAGTGAGTGAGTGTATGAGTGAGTGTGTGAGTGAGTGAGTGAGTGTATGAGTGAGTGTATGAGTGAGTGAGTGTATGAGTGAGTGGTGAGTGTGGTGAGTGTGCTGAGTGAGTGGTGAGTGAGTGGTGAGTGTGGTGGTGACTGAGTGGTGAGTGAGTGGTGAGTGAGTGGTGAGTGAGTGGTGAGTGAGTGGTGAGTGAGTGAGTGTATAAGTGAGTGGTGAGTGTGGTGAGTGAGTGGTGAGTGAGTGGTGAGTGAGTGGTGAGTGAGTGGTGAGTGAGTGTATGAGTGAGTGAGTGGTGAGTGAGTGGTGAGTGAGTGGTGAGTGAGTGGTGAGTGAGTGGTGAGTGAGTGTATGAGTGAGTGAGTGTATGAGTGAGTGTATGAGTGAGTGAGTGTATGAGTGAGTGTATGTATGAGTGAGTGTATGAGTGAGTGTATGAGTGAGTGAGTGTATGAGTGAGTGTATGAGTGAGTGTATGAGTGAGTGTATGAGTGAGTGTATGAGTGAGTGTATGAGTGTATGAGTGAGTGTATGAGTGAGTGAGTGTATGAGTGAGTGTATGAGTGAGTGAGTGTATGAGTGTATGAGTGAGTGTATGAGTGAGTGAGTGGTGAGTGAGTGGGTGAGTGGGTGTGTGAGTGTATGAGTGAGTGTATGAGTGAGTGAGTGGTGAGTGTGGTGGTGAGTGTGGTGAGTGAGTGGTGAGTGAGTGGTGAGTGTGGTGAGTGAGTGGTGAGTGTATGAGTGAGTGAGTGAGTGGTGAGTGAGTGTATGAGTGAGTGAGTGTATGAGTGAGTGAGTGGTGAGTGAGTGGTGAGTGAGTGGTGAGTGAGTGGTGAGTGAGTGGTGAGTGTATGAGTGAGTGTATGAGTGAGTGAGTGTATGAGTGAGTGTGTGAGTGAGTGAGTGTATGAGTGAGTGTATGAGTGAGTGTATGAGTGAGTGTATGAGTGAGTGAGTGTATGAGTGAGTGTATGAGTGAGTGTATGAGTGAGTGTATGAGTGAGTGTATGAGTGAGTGTATTAGTGAGTGTATGAGTGAGTGTGTGAGTGGTGAGTGAGTGGTGAGTGTATGAGTGAGTGTGTGAGTGTATGAGTGAGTGTGTGAGTGAGTGAGTGTATGAGTGAGTGTATGAGTGAGTGAGTGTATGAGTGAGTGTATGAGTGAGTGTATGAGTGAGTGAGTGTATGAGTGAGTGTATGAGTGAGTGTATGAGTGGTGAGTGAGTGGTGAGTGAGTGGTGAGTGAGTGGTGAGTGAGTGGTGAGTGTATAAGTGAGTGAGTGTATGAGTGAGTGGTGAGTGTGGTGAGTGTGCTGAGTGAGTGGTGAGTGTGGTGGTGAGTGAGTGGTGAGTTAGTGGTGAGTGTGGTGGTGAGTGTATGAGTGAGTGAGTGAGTGTATGAGTGTATGAGTGAGTGTATGAGTGAGTGTATGAGTGAGTGAGTGTATGAGTGAGTGAGTGAGTGTATGAGTGTATGAGTGAGTGAGTGGTGAGTGAGTGGGTGAGTGGGTGTGTGAGTCGGAGGGTGAGTGAGTGGGTGAGTGTATAAGTGAGTGAGTGTATGAGTGAGTGGTGAGTGTGGTGAGTGTGCTGAGTGAGTGGTGAGTGAGTGGTGAGTGAGTGGTGAGTGAGTGGTGAGTGTGGTGGTGAGTGAGTGGTGAGTGAGTGGTGAGTGTATGAGTGTATGAGTGAGTGAGTGTATGAGTGAGTGTATGAGTGAGTGAGTGTATGAGTGAGTGAGTGAGTGTATGAGTGTATGATTGAGTGAGTGGTGAGTGAGTGGTGAGTGTATAAGTGAGTGGTGAGTGTGGTGAGTGTGGTGGTGAGTGTATGAGTGAGTGAGTGGTGATTGTATAAGTGAGTGGTGAGTGTGGTGGTGAGTGAGTGGTGAGTGTGGTGGTGAGTGAGTGGTGAGTGAGTATATGAGTGAGTGAGTGAGTGTATGAGTGAGTGAGTGAGTGTATGAGTGAGTGAGTGAGTGGTGAGTGTGGTGAGTGAGTGGTGAGTGTATAAGTGAGTGAGTGAGTGGTGACTGCAGGTGGAGTATGAGAATCACGTCCGTTTCCGTGGGGGAGCTTCTCTCCGCCACCGCTCCCCAGTGAAAATCTTCACCAACATCAGTGGCCTGCGGAGACTCAAACCACCGGGAGACTACCGGTGGGGTGTGCACCTAGCCTGGCACCACACACACACACACAGACACACACACAGACACACACAGTGACACACAGTGACACACACATACACACACAGTGACACACAGACACACACACAAAGACACACACACACAGACACACACACACACACACAGATACACACACACACACACACAGACACACACAGACACACAGTGACACACACAGACACAAAAAGACCCACAGACACACACACAAAGACACCGATACACACAGACACACACACACAGATACACACACAGATACACACACAGATACACACACAGATACACACACAGACACACACACAGATACACACAGACACACACACAAAGACACAGATACACACAGACACACAGACACACACAAAGACACAGATACACACAGACACACACACACACACAGATACACACAAACACTTAGACACACACACAAAGACACAGATACACACAGACACATACACAGACACACACACAGACACAAAAAGAGCCATAGACACACACAAAGACACCGATACACACAGACACACACACACAGATACACACACAGACACACAGACACACACAGATTCACACACACACAGATACACACAGACACACACACACAAAGACACAGATACACACAGACACACACACACACACAAAGACACAGATACACACAGACATACACACACAGACACAATAATACCCATAGACACACACACAAAGACACAGATACACACAGACACACACAGAGACACAGTGATACACACACAGTGACAGACACAGTGACACACACACAAAGACACAGACACACACACACACAAAGACACTGATACACACAGACACACACACACAGACAGTGATACACACACAGTGACAACAACAACAACCGCCATTCGCCACTAAGTGGCGGTGACGTCACCACGACGCTTGTGCCAGGCTATGTGCACCCTGAGGCCACGTGAAGTGTCGAACGCCCGCTGGCAGGAGGTCACGGGGCAGACCCAGGTGCCACGGGTCGACTGACTGAGATGACTGGCTGATGCACCACCTGTGCCCCCTACTGTGACACACAGACACACACACAGACACAGTGGTACACACACAGTGACAGACACAGTGACACACACACACACAAAGACACATAGACACACACACACAAAGACACAGATACAGACAGACATACACACAAAGACACAGCGATACACACACAGTGACAGACACAGTGACACACACACACACAAAGACACATAGACACACACACAAAGATACAGATACACACAGACACACACACAGACACAGTGACACACACACACAAAGACACACAGACACCCCCTCGTGTACCGTTCCGGCCTTCATAGCTGCTCGCTAACAGCACTTGCCCCTACAGTCTGTTACAGGCTATACGGGGGATCTTTGTCTTCATCTTTGTCTCTGTGTGTGTGTCTGTGTGTGTGTCTGTGTGTGTGTGTGTCTGTGTGTGTGTGTGTCTGTGTGTGTGTACTGTGTGTGTGTGTACTGTGTGTGTGTCTGTGTGTGTGTTTCTGTGTGTGTGTCTGTGTGTGTGTCTGTGTGTGTGTTTCTGTGTGTGTGTATGACTGTGTGTGTGTGTACTGTGTGTGTACTGTGTGTGTGTGACTGTGTGTGTCTGTGTGTGTGTGACTGTGTGTGTCTGTGTGTCTGTGTGTGTGTGTGGCTGTATGTGTGTGTGTGTGTCTGTGTGTGTGTGTGTCTGTGTGTGTGTCTGTGTGTGTCTCTGTGTGTGTGTCTGTGTGTCTGTGTGTCTGTGTGTGTCTGTGTGTGTCTGTGTGTCTGTGTGTGTACTGTGTGTCTGTGTGTCTTTGTGTGTCTGTGTGTGTGTGGCTGTATGTGTGTGTGTGTCTGAGTTTACTGTGTGTGTGTACTGTGCGTGTGTCTGTGTGTGTGTGAGTGTACTGTGTGTGTGTACTGTGTGTGTGTACTGTGTGTGTGTACTGTGTGTGTGGACTATGTGTGTGCGTGTGTACTGTGTGTCTGTATGTGTGTGTGTGTGTCTGTGTGTGTGTCTGTGTATGTGTGTCTGTGTGTGTGTATCTGTGTGTGTGTGTGTGTATCGCTGTCTGTGTGTGTGTGTGTGTATATCACTGTCTGTGTGTGTGTCCGTGTGTGTGTGTGTGTGTACTGTGTGTGTGTGTGTACTGTGTCTGTGTGTGTGTCTGTGTGTCTGTGTGTGTGTCTGTGTGTGTGTCTGTGTGTGTCTGTGTGTCTGTGTGTGTGTCTGTGTGTCTGTGTGTGTCTGTGTGTGTCTGTGTGTGTGTGTCTGTGTGTGTGTGTGTACTGTGTGTACTGTGTGTGTGTGTCCGTGTGTGTGTGTGTGTATCACTGTCTGTGTGTCTGTGTGTGTGTGTGGCTGTATGTGTGTGTGTGTCTGTGTGTGTGTCTGTGTGTGTGAATGTACTGTGTGTCTGTCTGTGTGTGTCTGTGTGTGTGTCTGTGTGTGTGAATGTACTGTGTGTCTGTCTGTGTGTGTCTGTGTGTCTGTGTGTGTCTGTGTGTGTGAATGTACTGTGTGTCTGTCTGTGTGTGTCTGTGTGTCTGTGTGTGTCTGTGTGTGTGTCTGTGTGTGTGTACTGTGTGTGTGTACTGTGTGTGTGTGTCTGTGTGTGTGTGTCTGTGTGTACTGTGTGGCTGTATGTATGTGTGAGACTGTGTCTGTGTGTGTGTACTGTGTGTGTCTGTGTGTGTGCAGGTTCTGTGAGCTGTGTGACTGTTACGTTGCTTCTGATAATCGACACTGCACCGCCTGTAACGCCTGCACATCGATGGTAACATCGTCACCATCATCATCAACATCATCATCATCAGCAACATCATCATCAACATCATCAACATCATTATCATCATCATCAGCAACATCATCAACATCATCATCATCAACAGCATCATCATCAACATCATCATAATCAGTAACAACATCATCATGATCATCATCAGCAACATCATCATCAGCAACATCATCAACATCATCATCATCAACAGCATCATCATCAACATCATCAGTAACAACATCATCAGCAACATCAACATCATCAACATCATCAGTAACATCATCAGCAACATCATCAACATCACCATCAGCACCTCCGCCACTACCATCACCACCATCATCGCCAATATCATACACGGTGATGGTTGTGATGGTGATAGTGATGGTGATGATGGTGGTGATGGTGATGGTGGTGATGGTGGTGGTGGTGGTGATGGTGGTGATGGTCATGGTAGTGATGATGGTGATGGGGTTGGTAGTGATGATTGGTTGGTAGTGATGGTGGTAGTGATGGTGATAATAGTGTTGGTGATGGAGGTGATGGTGGTGGTGGTGGTGATGGTGGTGATGGGGTTGGTAGTGATGGTGGTGATGGTGATGATGGTGGTGATGGTGATGGTAGTGATGGTGGTGATGGTGGTGATGGTGGTGGTGATGGTGGTGATGGTCATGGTAGTGATGATGGTGATGGGGTTGGTAGTGATGATTGGTTGGTAGTGATGGTGGTAGTGATGGTGATAATAGTGTTGGTGATGGTGGTGATGGTGGTAGTGGTGGTGGTGATGGTGGTGATGGGGTTGGTAGTGATGGTGATGGTGGTGATGGTGATGATGGTGGTGATGGTGATGGTGGTGATGGTGGTGATGGGGTTGGTAGTGATGGTGATGGTGGTGATGGTAGTGATGGGGTGGTGATGGTGATGGGGTTGGTAGTGATGATTGGTTGGTAGTGATGGTGGTAGTGATGGTGATGATGGTGGTGATGGTGATGGTGGTGATGGTGGTGATGGGGTTGGTAGTGATGGTGATGGTGGTGATGGTGGTGATGGGGTGGTGATGGTGGTGATGGTGATGGGGTGATGATGATGGTGGTGATGGTGATGGTAGTGATGGTGTTGATGGTGATGGGGTTGGTAGTGATGGTGATGGTGGTGATGGTAGTGATGGTGGTGATGGTGGTGATGGTAGTGATGGGGTGGTGATGGTGATGGGGTTGGTGATGGTGGTGATGGTTGTGGTGATGGTAGTGGTGATGGTAGTGATGGTGATGGGGTGCTGATGGTGATGGTAGTGATGGTGGTGATGGTGATGGTGGTGATGGTGGTGATGGTGATGGTGGTGATGGTGGTGATGGTGATGGGGTGGTGATGGTAGTGAAGATGGTAGTGATGGTGGTGATGGTAGTGATGGTGGTGATGGTGGTGATGGTGATGGGGTTGGTGATGGTGATGGGGTGGTGATGGTGATGGTGATGGGGTGGTGATGGTGGTGATGGTGATGGGGTGGTGATGGTGATGGTAGTGATGGTGATGGTAGCGATGGTGATGGTGGTGATGGTGATGGGGTGGTGATGGTGATGGTGATGTGGTGGTGATGGTGGTGATGGTGATGGGGTTGGTGATGATGGTGATGGTGGTGGTGATGGTGATGGTGATGGGGTGGTGATGGTAATGGTAGTGATGGTGGTGATGGTGATGGTGGTGATGGTGATGGTGATGTGGTGGTGATGGTGGTGATGGTGATGGGGTTGGTGATGATGGTGATGGGGTTGGTGATGATGGTGGTGGTGATGGGGTTGGTGATGGTGATGATGGTGATGGTAGTGATGGTGATGTGGTGGTGATGGTGGTGATGGTGATGGGGTTGGTGATGATGGTGATGGTGGTGGTGATGGTGATGGGGTGGTGATGGTGGTGATGGTAATGGTAGTGATGGTGGTGATGGTGGTGATGGTGATGGGATGGTGATGGTGATGGGGTGGTGATGGTGATGTGGTGGTGATGGTGGTGATGGTAATGGTAGTGATGGTGGTGATGGTGATGGTGGTGATGGTGATGGGGTGGTGATGGTGGTGATGGTGATGGTAGTGATGGTGGTGATGGTGGTGATGGTGATGGGGTGGTGATGGTGATGTGGTGGTGATGGTGGTGATGGTGATGGGGTTGGTGATGATGGTGATGGTGGTGGTGATGGTGATGGGGTGGTGATGGTGGTGATGGTGGTGATGGTAATGGTAGTGATGGTGGTGATGGTGATGGTGGTGATGGTGATGGGGTGGTGATGGTGATGGTGATGTGGTGGTGATGGTGGTGATGGTGATGGGGTTGGTGATGATGGTGATGGTGATGGGGTTGGTGATGATGGTGGTGGTGATGGGGTTGGTGATGGTGATGATGGTGATGATGGTGATGGTAGTGATGGTGATGTGGTGGTGATGGTGGTGATGGTGATGGGGTTGGTGATGATGGTGATGGTGGTGGTGATGGTGATGGTGATGGGGTGGTGATGGTGGTGATGGTAATGGTAGTGATGGTGGTGATGGTGATGGTGGTGATGGTGATGGGGTGGTGATGGTGATGGTGATGGGGTGGTGATGGTGATGTGGTGGTGATGGTGGTGATGGTAATGGTAGTGATGGTGGTGATGGTGATGGTGGTGATGGTGATGGGGTGGTGATGGTGGTGATGGTGATGGTAGTGATGGTGGTGATGGTGATGGTGGTGATGGTGATGGTGATGTGGTGGTGATGGTGGTGATGGTGATGGGGTTGGTGATGATGGTGATGGGGTTGGTGATGATGGTGGTGGTGATGGGGTTGGTGATGGTGATGATGGTGATGGTGGTGATGGTAGTGATGGTGGTGATGGTGGTGATGGTGGTGATGGTGGTGATGGTGGTGGACTCACGCTGTGAGTGATGGTGATGGTAGTGATGGTGGTAGTGGTGGTAGTGATGTGGGTGATGGTGATGGTAGTGTTGGTGGTGATGGGGTGGTGATGGTGATGGGGTGGTGATGGGGTTGGTGATGGGGTGGTGATGGTAGTGATGGGGGTGATGGTAGTGATGGTGGTGATGGTGGTGATGGTAGTCATGGTGATGGTAGTCATGGTGATGGTAGTGATGGTGATGGTAGTCATGGTGATGGTAGTAATGGTGATGGGGTGGTGATGGGGTTGGTAGTGATGGTGATGGTGGTGATGGTAGTCATGGTGATGATGATGGTGATGGGGTTGGTGGTTCTGTGCAGGATGGGAGACAATGGAACCACTGTGACCTCTGCAAGAAGTGCGTGAAGCAATGTGAGTACCATCATCACCATGACTACCATCACCATGACTACCATCACCATAGCTACCATCATCACCATGACTACCATCACTCTCATCACTACCATCACCATGACTACCATCACCATAGCTACCATCACCATCATCACTACCATCACCATGACTACCATCACCATAGCTACCATCACCATCATCACTACCATCACCATGACTTCCATCACCATAGCTACCATCATCACCATGACTACAATCACTTTCATCACTACCATCACCATAGCTACCATGACTACCATCACCATGACTACCATCACTTTCATCACTACCATCACCATGACTACCATCACCATAGCTACCATCACCATAGCTACCATCACCATCATCACTACCAACACCATGACTACCATCACCATGACTACCATCACTTTCATCACTACCATCACCATAGCTATCATCATCACCATCACTACCATCACCATAGCTACCATGACTACCATCACCATGACTACCATCACTTTCATCACTACCATCACCATGACTACCATCACCATGACTACCATCACCATCATCACTACCATCACCATGACTACCATCACCATAGCTACCATCACCATAGCTACCATCACCATAGCTACCATCACCATAGCTACCATGATCACCATGACTACCATCACCATGACTACCATCACCATAGCTACCATCACCATAGCTACCATCACCATAGCTACCATCACCATAGCTACCATCATCACCATGACTACCATCACCATGACTACCATCACCATGACTACCATCACCATAGCTACCATCACCATGACTACCATCACCATCACTACCATCACCATGACTACCATCACCATAGCTACCATCATCACCATGACTACCATCACTTTCATCACTACCATCACCATGACTACCATCACCATAGCTACCATCATCACCATGACTACCATCACTTTCATCACTACCATCACCATGACTACCATCACCATAGCTACCATCACCATGACTTCCATCACCATAGCTACCATCACCATCATCACTACCATCACCATGACTACCATCACCATAGCTACCATCATCACCATGACTACCATCACCATGACTACCATCACCATGACTACCATCACCATCACTACCATCACCATAGCTACCATCACTACCATCACCATGACTACCATCACTTTCATCACTACCATCACCATGACTACCATCACCATAGCTACCATCATCACCATGACTACCATCACTTTCATCACTACCATTACCATGACTACCATCACCATAGCTACCATCATCACCACCCCATCACCATCATCACCATCACCATCATCACTACCATCATCACTACCATCACTACCACCATCACCCCCATCACCACCCCCATCACTACCATCACCCCCATCACTACCATCACCCCCATCACTACCATCACCATCACCACCACCATCACTACCATCACCATCACCCCCATCACCATCACCCCCATCACTACCATCACCCCCATCACTATCATCACCACCATCACCCCCATCACCCCCATCACCATCACCCCCATCACCATCGCCCCCATCACCCCCATCACCCCCATCACCATCACCGTGTCTCTCTCTCTCCCCGTGTCTCTCTCTCTCCCCGTGTCTCTCTCTCCCCGTGTCTCTCTCTCCCCGTGTCTCTCTCTCGCCGTGTCTCTCCCCCCGTGTCTCTCTCTCCCCGTGTCTCTCCCCCCGTGTCTCTCTCCCCGTGTCTCTCTCTCCCCGTGTCTCTCTCTCCCCGTGTCTCTCTCTCCCCGTGTCTCTCCCCCCGTGTCTCTCTCCCCCGTGTCTCTCTCCCCCCGTGTCTCTCTCTCCCCGTGTCTCTCCCCCCGTGTCTCTCTCCCCATGTCTCTCTCCCTGTGTCTCTACCCCGTGTCTCTCCCCCCGTGTGTCCCCCCCCCCCGTGTCTCTCTCCCCCCGTGTCTCTCCCCCCGTGTCTCTCTCCCCCGTGTCTCTCTCCCCCCGTGTCTCTCTCTCCCCGTGTCTCTCTCTCCCCGTGTCTCTCCCCCCGTGTCTCTCTCCCCGTGTCTCTCTCCCCCGTGTCTCTCTCCCCCCGTGTCTCTCTCTCCCCGTGTCTCTCCCCCCGTGTCTCTCTCCCCGTGTCTCTCTCCCTGTGTCTCTACCCCGTGTCTCTCTCCCCGTGTCTCTCCCCCCGTGTCTCTCCCCCCGTGTCTCTCTCCCCGTGTCTCTCCCCCCGTGTCTCTCTCTCCCCGTGTCTCTCTCCCCGTGTCTCTCCCCCCGTGTCTCTCCCCCCGTGTCTCTCCCCCCGTGTCTCTCTCCCCATGTCTCTCTCCCTGTGTCTCTACCCCGTGTCTCTCCCCCCGTGTCTCTCCCCCCGTGTGTCCCCCCCCGTGTCTCTCTCTCCCCGTGTCTCTCCCCCCGTGTCTCTCTCCCCATGTCTCTCTCCCTGTGTCTCTACCCCGTGTCTCTCTCCCCGTGTCTCTCCCCCCGTGTCTCTCCCCCCGTGTCTCTCTCCCCGTGTCTCTCCCCCCGTGTCTCTCCCCCCGTGTCTGTCTCTCCCCCCGTGTCTCTCTCCCCGTGTCTCTCTCTCCCCGTGTCTCTCTCTCCCCGTGTCTCTCTCTCCCCGTGTCTCTCCCCCCGTGTCTCTCCCCCCGTGTCTCTCTCCCCGTGTCTCTCCCCCCGTGTCTCTCTCCCCGTGTCTCTCTCCCCGTGTCTCTCCCCCCGTGTCTCCCACCCCGTGTCTCACCCCCCGTGTCTCTCTCTCCCCGTGTCTCTCTCTCCCCGTGTCTCTCCCCCCGTGTCTCTCTCCCCGTGTCTCTCCCCCCGTGTCTCTCCCCCCGTGTCTCTCTCCCCGTGTCTCTCCCCCCGTGTCTCTCCCCCCGTGTCTCTCCCCCCGTGTCTCCCACCCCGTGTCTCACCCCCCGTGTCTCTCTCTCCCCGTGTCTCTCTCCCCGTGTCTCTCCCCCCGTGTCTCCCACACCGTGTCTCTCCCCCTGTCTCTCTCCCCCCGTGTCTCTCCCCCCCCCCGTGTCTCTCTCTCCCCGTGTCTCTCCCCCCGTGTCTCTCTCTCCCCGTGTCTCTCCCCCCGTGTCTCTCTCTCCCCGTGTCTCTCCCCCCGTGTCTCCCACACCGTGTCTCTCCCCCTGTCTCTCTCCCCCCGTGTCTCTCCCCCCCCCCCGTGTCTCTCTCTCCCCGTGTCTCTCCCCCCGTGTCTCTCCCCCCGTGTCTCTCCCCCCGTGTCTCTCTCTCCCCGTGTCTCTCCCCCCGTGTCTCTCCCCCCGTGTCTCACCCCCCGTGTCTCTCTCTCCCCGTGTCTCACCCCACATGTCTCTCTCTCTCCCCGTGTCTCTCCCCCCGTGTCTCTCCCCCCCATAGCGTGGTGTCATTGCTTCTCCTGCGGATTTTGCCATCTCCCCTCTCACGGCTGCCGCATCTCCAATCCTGAGACACGGACAACGGAGACACGGCCAGGGACAACGGAGACACGGCCAGGGACAGCGGAGACACCCCCACGGACAACGGAGACAACGGACTTCCCCCTGTGCCATCGATGCTCCAGCCCAGGACACAAACGGAGACACTGTCCCCTGGCCACGCCCACCACCTCGGCCGGGGGCGGGGCCAGGAGGCCACGGGGAGGGCCCAAGGGGTGGGGCGGGGCCAAGGGCGGAGCCGGGAGAGGGGCTCGAGGGAGGGGCGGGGTCGAGGGCGGCGCCGGGGGAGGGGCTTGCGGGGTGGGCGTGGCCGGGGGCTGGGTCGTGGGCGTGGCCGGGGGCGGGGGCGTGGCACGGGGCGGGGCCGGGGGTTGGGCAGTGGCATTGGGCGATGAGCGGGTGGGGATTGGGGGAGGAGGGGGAGGAGCCGAAGGTGGGGGCGGAGCCAGAGGTGGGGGCGGAGCCAAGGGTGGGGGCGGAGCCGAGGGTGGGGGCGGAGCCAAGAAGGGAGGGGGAGGTCCTTCCCCCACGGACATCACCAATAGCCGGTGGGTGGTGGTGACTGTGGTGGTGGTGGTGACTGTGGTGGTGGTGGTGATGGTGGTGACTGTGGTGGTGGTGGTGGTGACTGTGGTGGTGGTGGTGACTGTGGTGGTGGTGACTGTGGTGGTGGTGGTGGTGTTGGTGGTGACTGTGGTGGTGGTGGTGGTGACTGTGGTGGTGGTGACTGTGGTGGTGGTGACTGTGGTGGTGGTGACTGTGGTGGTGGTGACTGTGGTGGTGGTGGTGGTGGTGACTGTGGTGGTGGTGACTGTGGTGGTGGTGACTGTGGTGGTGGTGGTGACTGTGGTGGTGGTGGTGACTGTGGTGGTGGTGGTGACTGTGGTGGTGACTGTGGTGGTGGTGGTGGTGACTGTGGTGGTGGTGGTGGTGGTGACTGTGGTGGTGGTGACTGTGGTGGTGGTGACTGTGGTGGTGGTGACTGTGGTGGTGGTGACTGTGGTGGTGGTGGTGACTGTGGTGGTGGTGGTGACTGTGGTGGTGGTGACTGTGGTGGCTGTGACTGTGGTTGTGACTGTGGTTGTGGTTGTGACTGTGGTGGTGGTGGTGACTGTGGTGGTGGTGACTGTGGTGGTGACTGTGGTGGTGGTGGTGACTGTGGTGGTGGTGGTGACTGTGGTGGTGACTGTGGTGGTGGTGACTGTGGTGGTGACTGTGGTGGTGGTGACTGTGGTGGTGACTGTGGTGGTGGTGGTGGTGACTGTGGTGGTGGTGGTGACTGTGGTGGTGGTGACTGTGGTGGTGGTGGTGACTGTGGTGGTGACTGTGGTGGTGGTGACTGTGGTGGTGACTGTGGTGGAGGTGACTGTGGTGGTGACTGTGGTGGAGGTGACTGTGGTGGTGACTGTGGTGGAGGTGACTGTGGTGGTGGTGACTGGTGGTGGTGGTGGTGGTGGTGACTGTGGTGGTGGTGGTGGTGACTGTGGTGGTGACTGTGGTGGTGGTGACTGTGGTGGTGGTGACTGTGGTGGTGGTGACTGTGGTGGTGGTGACTGTGGTGGTGACTGTGGTGGTGGTGGTGACTGTGGTGGTGGTGGTGACTGTGGTGGTGACTGTGGTGGTGGTGACTGTGGTGGTGGTGGTGGTGACTGTGGTGGTGGTGGTGACTGTGGTGGTGACTGTGGTGGTGACTGTGGTGGTGGTGACTGTGGTGGTGGTGACTGTGGTGGTGGTGACTGTGGTGGTGGTGACTGTGGTGGTGACTGTGGTGGTGGTGACTGTGGTGGTGGTGGTGGTGGTGACTGTGGTGGTGGTGGTGGTGGTGACTGTGGTGGTGGTGGTGGTGGTGACTGTGGTGGTGACTGTGGTGGTGGTGACTGTGATGGTGGTGATTGTGGTGGTGGTGGTGACTGGTGGTGGTGACTGTGGTGGTGACTGGTGGTGACTGTGGTGGTGACTGTGGTGGTGGTGGTGACTGTGGTGGTGGTGACTTTGGTGGTGGTGGTGACTGTGGTGGTGGTGGTGACTGTGGTGGTGGTGACTGTGGTGGTGACTGTGGTGGCGGTGGTGACTGTGGTGGTGGTGACTGGTGGTGACTGTGGTGGTGGTGGTGACTGGTGGTGGTGACTGTGGTGGTGGTGACTGGTGGTGGTGACTGTGGTGGTGGTGGTGGTGACTGTGGTGGTGGTGACTGTGGTGTTGGTGGTGATTGTGGTGGTGGTGACTGTGGTGGTGGTGGTGACTGTGGTGGTGGTGGTGACTTTGGTGGTGGTGACTGTGGTGGTGGTGACTGTGGTGGTGGTGACTGGTGGTGGTGACTGTGGTGGTGACTGTGGTGGTGGTGACTGGTGGTGGTGACTGTGGTGGTGGTGACTGGTGGTGGTGACTGTGGTGGTGGTGGTGACTGTGGTGGTGGTGACTGTGGTGGTGGTGGTGACTGTGGTGGTGGTGACTGTGGTGGTGGTGGTGACTGTGGTGGTGGTGGTGACTGTGGTGGTGGTGGTGACTGTGGTGGTGACTGTGGTCGTGGTGACTGTGGTGGTGGTGGTGACTGTGGTGGTGGTGGTGACTGTGGTGGTGGTGACTGTGGTGGTGACTGTGGTGGTGGTGGTGACTGTGGTGGTGGTGACTGGTGGTGGTGACTGTGGTGGTGACTGTGGTGGTGGTGGTGACTGTGGTGGTGGTGACTGTGGTGGTGGTGGTGACTGTGGTGGTGGTGGTGACTGTGGTGGTGGTGACTGGTGGTGGTGACTGTGGTGGTGACTGGTGGTGGTGGTGACTGTGGTGGTGGTGATTGTGGTGGTGGTGGTGACTGTGGTGGTGACTGTGGTGGTGGTGGTGACTGTGGTGGTGGTGACTGGTGGTGGTGACTGTGGTGGTGACTGTGGTGGTGACTGTGGTGGTGGTGGTGACTGTGGTGGTGGTGGTGACTGTGGTGGTGGTGGTGACTGTGGTGGTGGTGGTGACTGTGGTGGTGGTGACTGGTGGTGGTGACTGTGGTGGTGACTGTGGTGGTGGTGGTGACTGTGGTGGTGGTGGTGACTGTGATGGTGGTGACTGGTGGTGACTGTGGTGGTGGTGGTGACTGTGGTGGTGGTGACTGTGGTGGTGGTGGTGACTGTGGTGGTGGTGACTGTGGTGGTGGTGACTGTGGTGGTGGTGGTGGTGGTGGTGGCGGTGGTGGTGGTGGTGGTGGTGACTGTGGTGGTGGTGACTGTGGTGGTGGTGACTGTGGTGGTGGTGGTGGTGACTGTGGTGGTGGTGGTGGTGGTGACTGTGGTGGTGGTGACTGTGGTGGTGGTGGTGACTGTGGTGGTGGTGGTGACTGTGGTGGTGGTGGTGGTGACTGTGGTGGTGGTGGTGACTGTGGTGGTGGTGACTGTGGTGGTGGTGGTGACTGTGGTGGTGGTGGTGACTGTGGTGGTGGTGGTGACTGGTGGTGGTGACTGTGGTGGTGACTGTGGTGGTGGTGACTGTGGTGGTGGTGACTGTGGTGGTGGTGACTGTGGTGGTGGTGGTGACTTTGGTGGTGGTGGTGACTGTGGTGGTGGTGGTGGTGGTGACTGTGGTGGTGGTGACTGTGGTGGTGGTGGTGGTGGTGGTGACTGTGGTGGTGGTGGTGGTGACTGTGGTGGTGGTGGTGGCTGTGGTGGTGGTGACTGTGGTGGTGGTGACTGTGGTGGTGGTGACTGTGGTGGTGGTGGTGACTGTGGTGGTGACTGTGGTGGTGGTGGTGACTGGTGGTGGTGACTGTGGTGGTGACTGTGGTGGTGGTGGTGGTGACTGTGGTGGTGGTGACTGTGGTGGTAGTGACTGTGGTGGTGGTGGTGGTGACTGTGGTGGTGGTGGTGGTGACTGTGGTGGTGGTGACTGTGGTGGTGGTGACGGTGGTGGTGGTGACTGTGGTGGTGGTGGTGGTGGTGGTGGTGGCTGTGGGTGGTGGTGACTGTGGTGACTGTGGTGGTGACTGTGGTTGTGGTGACTGTGGTGGTGGTGACTGTGGTGGTGGTGACTGTGGTGGTGGTGGTGGTGGTGGCTGTGGGTGGTGGTGACTGTGGTGACTGTGGTGACTGTGGTGGTGGTGACTTTGGTGGTGGTGGTGACTGTGGTGGTGGTGGTGGTGACTGTGGTGGTGGTGGTAACTGTGGTGGTGGTGGTGACTGTGGTGGTGGTGACTGTGGTGGTGGTGGTGGTGACTGTGGTGACTGTGGTGGTGGTGGTGACTGTGGTGGTGGTGACTGTGGTGGTGGTGGTGGTGGTGGTGACTGTGGTGGTGACTGTGGTGGTGGTGGTGGTGGTGACTGTGGTGGTGGTGGTGGTGACTGTGGTGGTGACTGTGGTGGTGGTGGCGGTGGTGATGGTGGTGGTGACTGTGGTGACTGTGGTGATGTTGATGATGGTGATGTTGATGGTGATGATGTTGACGGTGATGATGATGATGTTGATGATGATATTGGGTGATGGTGATGATGTTGGGTGATGGTGTTGATTGTGTTGATGGTGTTGATGGTGGTGATGTTGATGATGTTGAATGATGGTGATGATGGTGGTGAGGTTGCTGATGATGTTGATGATGATTATGGTGATGTTGAGCGATGTTGATGATGTTGATGGTGGTGATGATGATGGTGATGTTGATGGTGATGATGTTGATGAAGGTGATGTTGGTGATGGTGATGTTGATGATGTTGATGATGATGGTGGTGATGTTGATGATGGTGATGTTGATGATGGTGATGTTGGTGATGGTGATGTTGATGTTGATGATGTTGAGTGATGATGATCATGATGTTGATGGTGATGTTGATGGTGATGGTGGTGATGATGATGATGATGTTTATGATGATGGTGATGATGATGATGGTGATGATGGTGGTGATGATGGTGATGATGGTGATGATGATGGTGATGATGTTGATGATGATGGTGATGATGTTGATGATGATGGTGATGATTTTGATGATGATGATGTTGATGATGATGGTGATGATGATCATGATGATGTTGATGATGATGGTGATGATGATGGTGATGTTGATGATGGTGATGTTGATGATGGTGATGTTGATGATGGTGATGTTGATGATGGTGATGGTGGTGATGATGATGGTGATGATGATGATGATGATGTTGATGATGATGATGGTGGTGATGATGATGGTGGTGATGATGATGATGGTGATGATGTTGATGATGATGATGGTGA